AGAAGACCAAGAAAAAAAACACAGCCAACAAGAATTTTTTTTTTCTTTTTTTTCGTTCTTTTTCTTACGTTTTTATTACTAAGACGATAAACAGTGATTATAGATTATTGAAATATTCATGCTCTGACAAACACTTCTAATTTTTAACCACAATCATTGATGCATATTTAAAAGATATACATTTAAATAAATGAGAACACATAATCGAATGGAATTGAACAATAATCTATTACTAGAAAAAAGATTATTGCTTTCAAAAAATCCAAATAAAACCTTATCATTAAATGATCGACGTATGTATATAGTGTTTTGAAAGAAAAAAGCTTTAGAGAATATATAAATTCTCAGAAGATTTCATAAATAAATCATCAATTAAGGATAAAAAAAAAAATTTTTTTATTTTGATACTCGTTTATAACAATAGCCCAAATAGCTCAGCCGGTAGAGCATCTCTCTCGTAAAGAGAAGGTCCATTGTTCGATTCAGTGTTTGGGCATTAAATTATTATTTCTTTTTTTTTTCATTTAGTGCCACCATGGGCTACAATTATAATTGTAATTATAGTACTTCTCACATTAGCTATGTGTTTGGCTTGTTGTATACGTCGTACATGTCGAAAATTATGGAAAAAGAAAGGTGTTAAAGGTGGTAAAGGTATTGATTTACAAGCCGTTAAAACATTTGGTTTACATAAAGAAAAGGTAAAAAAAAAAAAAGAAAATAATAATTAATTATATAGAAAAAAAAATTTAATCAAAAAAAACAAAATAATAGGTTCAACCTGATATTGAAGAATTAACACCGAATATGGAAGATAATGAAGATGCTGATTCAAAAAAAAGTGAAGCACCTAATTTAGGCAAATTAGAATATTCACTTGATTATGATTTTCAAAAACAAGAAGTATATTTTATAAAAAACAAAACAAAATCTTATTTCTTTATTTTATTTTCTAATAGCTTAAAGTTGAAGTTATACAAGCTCAAGAATTACCAGCTATGGATATGAGTGGAACATCTGATCCATATGTTAAAGTTTATGTCTTACCAGATAAAAAGAAAAAATTTGAAACAAAAGTTTATCGAAAAACATTAAATCCTATTTTTAATGAAACATTTATATTTAAGGTTAATTAATAAAATGAATTTTTTAAATAATAATATTTTTTTTTCTATTATAATAAAATAGAATTTGGCTTACGGTGAAATAGGTGGCAAAACATTAGTATTTGCTGTTTATGATTTTGATCGATTTTCAAGACATGATCAAATTGGTGAAGTACAAATTCCACTTAATACAGTTGATTTAGGAAAAGTTATAAGAGAAATAAAAGATTTAACACCTCCACCCGGAGAACGAGAAGCTGTATGTTAGATTTTTTTTGTTTTCATTTGATTATTATTTCTCATTATATATATATATATATATAGGAAAATAAATTAGGTGACATTTGTTTTTCACTTCGATATGTTCCAACAGCAGGTAAATTAACAATAACAATACTCGAAGCTAAAAATCTCAAAAAAATGGATGTCGGTGGTCTATCTGGTATGTAATTAAATATTAAAAAATTTCATTTATAATTCTTGTTTTGTTTTTTTTTTTAAAGACCCATATGTTAAATTATCATTAATGATGAATGGTAAACGTTTAAAAAAAAAGAAAACATCAATTAAAAAATGTACATTAAATCCATATTATAATGAATCATTTACATTTGAAGTACCATTTGAACAAATTCAGGTTAATTTATTTAATTATTAATTTCAATAAGAATAATATAACAATTACTTTTTTTTTAGAAAGTACAATTAGTAGTTACTGTAGTTGATTATGATCGTATTGGTACATCTGAACCTATTGGAAAAGTTGTTTTGGGTTGTAATGCAACTGGTACTGAATTACGTCATTGGTCCGATATGCTTGCATCACCTCGACGGCCTATTGCTCAATGGCATTCACTTAAAGATCCTGAAGATGGTAAACCATCATAAATAATATTAGAATAACGTAAAATTAGAGAAAAAAGAAGCATTCATAATTTTTTTTTTGTCCTACGTACATTTTTTTTTCATTGTTCTTACTGTGCAATATTAATTTTGATTGTTGTTGTTCGTGTTGTTGTTTTTCGTCAAGACTGGTTTATATTTATAAGTATTTATTTTTCTCTTTATCTTTTTCTTTTTTATATGTATTTTGTGATCGTTGTTCGTAACGAAGTTTTATTCCTTTGCCAATCCGATCGACATATATATATATATATATATATATATATACATACCATTGTTATTGTTGTTTGTGCATGTAATTCTTATGGTCTTTTCTGTCTTCTTTTTGTTTCAGTAGGGAACAATCTCTTTTTTCTTTTTCCAACTTCCGGTTATTTAATGTCGGTGTAAATAAAATCACAAAATTCAAAAATTGATTACATTACAATTATATGAAGCTTTCGTAAAAGAAATGATACATAAGGATTTATTTTTCAGTTAAATATTTATTGAATAACAAATACTTCTTGTTTTTTTTCCGAGTACCTTGCAATATGGGATGTTTTGCATAGAAACGGATTAAATAGACTGATAGTAGTATGATAAATTTAATGAATATATTAAATATGGAAGAAGAACATCATGCACTCCTTTATGACAATGAATATTCAAATTTTGATAATGATAACAGTTCTAATGTGATGATTTAAGTATTTAAAATTACTGCAATCATTAATGAATATATGAAAATGAATTTTAGTACGTTTATTAACATATCGTTAACTAGAATTTGAAGATAATAATAAAGAACTTTGTTAAATATCATCAACAACAACAACAAAACAAAAACAACTCAGTTTATAAAAAAAAACAATGAAATTTAATTGTAGTTCATTTATTACTTTATATTTGAAAGATAATCATAGTGAACTAAAATGAACAATATTTGATTCTTTAGGGGTAGGAATTCATATTACAAGACTAGAGGGGAGGAGAGTTCTTTTATTGTGTGCGGAAGGATTCAGCTGTAGCTCTGGGCAGAAGTTTAGCCTGACGTAGAGTTCTTAAGTTTCTCATACACACTAACTAATCACAAGAGCAAGTGTATGTCACAACGTAGTCAGCATGCTGTCGGATGGATAATCTGAGATAAATAGCCGTTAGTGTCTTGTTCAGGATCATTCTATGGCTGATGGCAGTGAGCTTTGAGCACAGTATTTTGTGGATATGTTTCGAACAACCCGAATATGAGAAACAAATACGAAATGATAATATCATTACATGTGATATTCTTTTTCATTATATTTTGTATGAAAAGAATGGTTCTTTTTTTTCTTCGGTTTACACTATCAAATGAGTTATGTGAACTAAATCTCTTTTTTATATAATAATTAAATAAACATATAACAAAATTGTAAATACTTTAATTAACTTATCTGTAATCTTATGAAAAACTTCTTCCTGTATGATTTACTTTTCTTTTTTTTTTTTATTAATTTAAATCGATCGAAAATAAAAATATAATTTAATGTTGGGTACATATTAATATATTACATTATATTTCAATTGATATAAATATTAGTTTGTAGTAATTGTTAATTAATTTATATCAATTCTTTCTTATCGTATTTAGTTCTTTTTTAATTTGTTTCGTAAGAATCAAAGTTAATGTCAGTTTTTTTTCTATAAGTTGTTTTTAAAAGATTTTTGCACAATTATATTTTTTTGATATGATGTTATATTTTTTTTTGTTATTAGAAACTACTTCTTTTTTTGACGTCATATAAGTGTTATTAATCATTAACATGAAATTATCATTTTAATATTAATATGAAAAAAAATATCTATGTTTGCGTATATAATTAAGTTATGCATAGTAAAAGAATATCAAGTACATTAGACAAAAGAATATGTTGGAAGTAAAATTAATCGATAAACAAAATGAAATTTCGAGGAATAAAAAAAAAGGAATAAATATTTCCGAGAAAAATAGAAATTTTAATTTAGATTTGTAAAATTTATGAAAGATAATATCTTATGATTAGGTTCTAATTAAACTTATAAATTCAAGTAAATTTTATTCATATTCGTACGTTCATTTAAAAAATTAGCCAGGATACTGCGCATATCAAAACGACATTGTAATCCGTGTTTGTTTTAGAGAGATCTAAAGCAAATTCATAAATCAATTGATTTAGGTTCAAAATTAAATATATCATTATGATAAAGTGAATAAATAATACGATGATAATATTACTAAACGATCACCTGATTACATTGCCATATACTTATGATTTCGTGATGAAAATTAATTTCTTAAGATAATGTCTATTTAAACATGATCTACTTTATTAGCTTCATTATATGGATTTGTCTATCTATGAATGATTTCATATAGAAACAGAGATTCTTTGTCAGCTGTACTTGATAACTGTCAATGATTGTAACAAGAACAATGGATTAGCTACTCTTGTTATCAACTGTCAAAATCATGGTGTAAATTTCTACTGAATCTCTGAAACATTATTTGCTATTTTAGATATAGAAGGAAGTCTATCTTATGAAACTTTAATATAAATTTTTATTAAAATGATATTCATGTTTTTTTATTTTTGTATAAGTTATTTACTTGAAATGACGCAGTTTCATAAAACTACTTCTAATTTTAACATGTGAAAAGAATCAATCATCGGTTAATTTTTTCAGTATTTTTTGTTTTTTTTTATAAAATACACTACCCTTACTTTATTTGTGGTCCTCATATATAATCGTTGTTTTTTTTCTCTTCCTCGTCCTTATTACTATTTACTAAGCCCTTCGGTTTTGTTTTTTTTGTGACACTCTTTAGTTGGTATTTCTTTTCTGGAGCTTCAGTCTTTTCTATGACTTACCTACACATATCCTCCCATTATTCATTTTTTTTTCCTATTTACATAAATTTTATCGATACGTATAAATTCAATTGTATGTCTGTAATAGTTATTTCAAAAACAAAATCCGGATTCGATTACTATGTTACGTTTACTTATATTCATATGTATTCTACAATATTCCAGTAAGGTTTTTTTTTGCTCTCTTGATATTGTTCATAAGTTTAGTTTTGTTATTTTATTAGTTGGTGCTATTCTTCGTGGTCGTATTTTACTTGATGGTGATGCAACTAAAACTGTTTCTATACCAGCTGGTAGTAGTTGTGCTGTTCATTTTGAAGATACATCAATACCTGATATGGCAGCAAAAGATATAAATGCTACAGAACTTTCAAATTTAATTGGTTTTCCAATTAATTATGAAATGACAATACCAAATAATCTTCAGCCAATATTCTTATATTCATTATCAGTTCGAATAACAAATGGAAACACTCTTTTATATATCAATACTGTGCGTGTAATTGTGCCAATTACAAATGGTAGTCTAATTACGGTTGATATTCCAGTAACAAATGTTCAGCAAAGTTTGAATTTTCTTATATTAATAAATTGACAAAAAAAATCAAACAAAGAAATATCATTTTAGATCCACAAAATGTTAGTAAACCAGTTTCATCTGAGGATAATGGAAAATATTCATGGCCAGAAATGCTTGGAAAAGATGGTACACTAGCCGTACAATATATCAAAATGAAGAGTAGTCAGTAGATTTTTTTTTAATTTCAATAAATATTTTTCATTAAAAATTTTCTTATAGATCTTACTAATGTATTTACCGTTCCTGAAAACTCGTTCATAACGATGGATTATCGAACTGATCGTGTACGTGTTTTTGTCGATAACAATAACATTGTAACTAAAGTACCTCGTGTTGGTTAAATTAACAATTTTTATCACTTTTTTTTTTCTATTATGAAAACAAATTTATTAAATCAAGAATAAAAGAAAGAATTAAAAATAAATTATAATCTATTTTATTAACAGAAGAATATATCTAATATGAATCTTCTTCTTTAAACGAGAAATTTCAAAATAAAAAGAAAATAAATATTACATACATGAATTCTAATTTCACAAAAAATATATGAAATCGAATTAATAATTATATCACATAATCATCTAGAACTATGAAATCTTATTTCTACAAAACAAAACTGTTTTTTTTTTGTTTAGAATATCGATAATAAATACAACAAAACATTATAAATATTCTGTGCAAGTTTTCTTTGATTTCCCAAGTTGCACATTTATTTGCATTACCATTGGTATACTAAAGTAATAGAAATATATATGACCGGAACGCCAAGAAAAAAGAAAATTTATCAGTATCAGAGGTCTCAATGGGCTCGGTCGGGTAGAAGAAACCCGACCCATAGGTTATCAAACTTTGACTCACCTCGACTCATGGTATTTTTTTTCTTAACAAATGGCCTACTATCTAATTACATTGAATAAATTATTCATACATGAAGGAACAAGTATATTTCAGGTACTAGTAGTTGATGCATAAACAAATATTCGGTAACATATTATGCATACTTGCAAAACCTTCAATTCTCTCGAATTCATCAGTATTTTCTGATTTTTTAGTTGAAAAATCAAAAACTTTGCAATATAAAGGTGTGTTTGTTTTTTTTTTTCATTTTTAATAACAACATATGTCAATGATTATTGTTTCAAAAGAAATTCGATCCATTCGGATGTATATTGTTTTGTATGTGAAGATGAATCAGCATTGATAGTTGAAGAAAAAGTCTTTAATAAGAATTGATGATTGAGAAGAAGGTTCTTTAGAATGAGAAAAAATAATTGATGATTAATGAGGAGATCTAGGCAAAGGACATTTTTTTCAATATAAAGGAAGTTGTTTAAGGTAATAACAAGAATTATCTTTTGCTTTATATATTTACTCTTCATTGAAGAAATGTTTTAGTCAATGGAAGAATTAAATGGGATTTTCGAAAAAAAAAAAAAAATTAATTGAAATACATAACATCTTTTGAAAATTTTATATTTTATTCAAGATTTGATCCATACGTACCCATTGAAACCTCTGGTCGGGATTCTCAAGCGAGATTACTTCAAAAAAAAATGCTAGTCATCGACTAAATAAATCAAAAACAAACAAATATTGAAGAATTATTTTAGATATGATATGAATAAATTCCAGGATATTTTTCTCTAAACTTGAAACGGAATTTGAAAAATGAAAAAAAAGTCAGATTGACCGACATGGAAGAAAAAGAAAAATGTCAAAAGTAAAAAGTAGATAAAAACTAAATGTCGAGGGTACGTACGTGTGCATATAAATGAAGGTATGTGAGTAAAGAAAAGACCTTTACTCACACTCCACATAAATGGAATTAAGATTTATAAACTTAACTTTTTCTTTTCTATTTTCTTTTTTCATCGGATCGAATAAAATTCTTCTTGTCATTAATATAATTTTTAAAAAAAAGTTTTTTTTTCCCATTCGACATCGTCAATTTCTCTATTTTCCACCAAATCCAAAAAAACTTGGTCTCATACATTTCTACGCAGTACTCATAAGTATCGACGATAGACCAACTGTAGATTGTCGATCAAAGAACAACTATCGGTAGAATAGCAGTGAGAAGATAGCCGATCATTTAAGTGTCAAACTTCCGTCGGTACAACGCATATTATTCTGACGGTTTTTATTCGGTCTAAATTACATAAGTTATATTCAAACTTTATTTAGAAAAAAAAAATTCAATAAAAATTTCTTGTTTACTTAATATCATTATTTATATTATCCTCTAGCAACACAAAATCGACCACGTTTTGCATTACCATCATAACACATAAGACCAGGACAACATGGAGGTAAATTTGCACCACAAGTCCATACTTGTGGAAGACACCGTGGATTTTGTAATGGTTTTTGTTCATAATATGATGATATAGGACGAAATATATATTCTCGAGGAGAACCAAATTTTTGATTTGTTTGATCATAATTTTTTTCTTGTTGTTTCCTATACATATTAAACAATCTATTAAGATCACTTGAATACCAATGAGGATATGAAAAAATAACTGGAAATAATAATATGAATATACAATGAAGAAAATTCATTTTGATAATTTTGTTTTTTTTATCTACGAATAGAATCTTGAAAATAGTTTATTATATCAATGTATGCCGATGATTGTATATATGCATACGTATATGTGTAGGAGTATAATTTCATAATCATCTATTGTTGACCTATGATAAAGAATTATATATATATTTATTCAGTCATTTTTTTTTTGCTTAGTGTAATCCAGGGAAAAAATATCATGACTCATGTATTACAAAATGACAGTAAAACCATAAAACTTTAGTAATATGATATTTCGAGTGAAAAAACCGAATTTATAATGGCATGAAATGACATCATTATATATTTGACATCGATTTCAACAATTTTATATATAGTAAGAAAGTTTGAAAATATATTTTTTTCTTGTGTTTATATATATATATATACAAAGAAAATTGAAATTTGTAAAGACTTCTTTCTTCATTCTTATTCTGTATAAATTAATTAAAAGAGACAAAAATTCATTGATCAAATATTTGAATTTGGTTTTAGTTTTTTAATATTTCATTCTACATTCCAACATATGCATAGTGATTTTTATCGATTAAATATTCGACTATGGCCAATATAAAAAAAGAAAAGATTTGCATATATATATATATATAAAAGGACAATATCAGATAAGGAGACAGTGCTAATCCTTGATAAAACATTTATTAAAGGTAACATGACTCGAAGAAAAGAATGCTTTAGACAGGTTCTTTTTTGCAATAATGAAATTTTATCATATAGGTTTTTGGATGTCAATATGTAAGTTCGGTTTTTTTTTCTTTCGTAAATTTATTAATCATCATGACGAGAATACTTTACAAATTTGACGTCTTCTATCGATATGATAAGTCAGAACAACATAACACTTTTATTACAACATATAAAAATTTAAGCTTATTTACAAAATTTACTTATAAATGATTATATTACTATTTCTTATGATAATCTTCAAAACAGAATGTTAATGTATGATTGTAAAATATTGAAAGTAAAAGTCTCGAATTATTATACATTGTTTTCAATTGTATGTACATCAATTTTTAATACTTAACAAGACTCTGTGAAAAGTTGAAAGTACTTCCTGACATAATAATTAATCTGAAAGTTGTTTCATTGAAATATGTCATTGTTAACAGATGTAATACATAAGATATTTTCTTTATCAAGCATCTTTTTCAATTTCATATATGAACAAAATCAATGACAATGAAACATGACCATCTTTGATTCTTTTCCAATGAATATCAAACTCAAAAAAAATTCGATGTTCCAGAGGTTTGTTCAAGTCCTAGAATAAAATATTTTGTTTTACTATCATCTCAAGATTTTCAATAAGGATTTGTATCATTTAAAATTAGTTTTTGAATTTTTTTTTTTGATTTGTATATTCGTACTCATTCAAGTGTGCTGTAGAAAAGTCGAAAATTTCAATTAACAAGACATTCTTGATTTTTAGCACAAAGAATATAAGTATGGATGTCTATTCTAGATTTCTCTTCACTTACACTCATACATCATCTATATAAAATAAATTGAATATTTATATCAATAAAAACTTCAACTAAAAAAGCTGTGATATTTTATTTAATAAGGCCAAAATACATGAATTTAAGGTGACTAAAAAAAGGATTAACAAAAAAAATTAAAAAACATAAAATACAACTTTTTGTTTTTTTGTTTATCAAGATGTAATAGTATTCAATGAAATATTTTCTTGTGTTATACCAAGTATATTTTCAATATCATTTACAGCTAACTATAAAGAAAACAAAAAAAAAAAATTTTTCATATATGTATATTATGTCTAGCAAAAAATAAATATAATCATTTACCATAAAATTACTCTGTTGTTTCATATCGACTGGTGTAATTTCTTGATAAATTGTATTTAAATAACAAACAAAATTTGTTAATGTATTTTGTAATGTATCACTAATTGTAATCATACCAATATGTTCATGATGATCACATTCATATAAAGTAAATATACTTCCTTGTTTTTCACGAATATCAAAACCAACACCATGTGAACGACACATATGAAAAAAGATACTATAATGAATATTAGATAAATTTTTATGATATAATTTTGAACTCCAAATAGCATAACGATTTTTTTCAATAATCTATTACAAAAATAAAAACATTAAATTAGATTTAAAAAAAAATTTTTTTTTGTTTTTTTACTGTATATTCTGGTGCACCATTTTGCCAATTTCTTAATCGTTGTTTAATTTGTTTAGTTTTAACAATAAATTTATGTGTTTGTGAATTAAATTGTCCTATTGTAGTATATTGCATAATACGATAAAGTGATATATGTTCAGAATATCCAATACATAAATCAGTAATCCATAATTTTTGTTCATTAGTTTTTTTATCAATAAATCCAACAAAATCAATATCAATATAACCATATATATTTCGTTGTTTACATTGTTCAACAATTAATAAACAATAATTATTTAATTGATTTGAATCAATACTTGATTGTGGAAATGATAAACCCCAACATGAAAATTGAGATTCAGCATGAAGTTGATCACCGGAACAAATTAATGAATAATAACCATTAGGTTCAATAGAAAGACATATTGTTATTGATGTTACAGAATTTGATGGTGGATATGCTTCAATAATACCACCTTCAGATAAAAAAAATTTTAAATATGTTTGCCAAGAATTAAATTGAGTTTTATTTACATAAATTGTATGTTTATCAAGAACATCCGATAATTCAGATAGAATTTTTGTATAAGAATGTTTCTATGAAAAAAAACAAAATATATACAAATATTTTAGTGTTGAGTATTTATCTAAACAATAATTTAAATTCTTCATTTTTAATATTATTAACATACCTCTCAAATCTACACTTTCAGCTTTTCGAAAGAAATCTACTGTCATTTAACAATATATCAAATGTAGCTTTGCTATTTCTCAGTTTGGTTCTAATATTATAATGATTCATGACTAATATAAAAGTTATCTAAAAATTTATAACGCACAAGCACATTACTTATTTAATAAAAGAAATTAAATTATATATTTTTATGACTTTGCTATATTGAATTATTAATTGTAAACCTTGATAACTGAATAAAAGTACATTATTATATATAGTTGTAAATTGCATGTTACTTCCTATTCAATTTGTATATCTTAATAATGATTGCTAGTATGTTATTTGATTTAAATTGAATTATTCTGTGAGTACTACTCGACAAATGAACAATCACGAAAGATAAGTGAAAGCTTTTCATTTTCTTTTAATCTGATAAATTATAATCGAATTAGAAAGAGATCGAAATGAACAATCCTCAATAGGATTAGATTAAATTGAGAAAGAATCTAAATAAGAGATCATCGAATAAAACTGAATCTAAGACTAGCCGATCAATTCAATTAATCAAATGTCAGCTTCAGAAAAAAAAAAAACAGAAAATTTTCATGAAATAAATAGTTCTATTTATTCGTTCGATTGCAATAGATAGATCAACCTATACTAAACAAATTCTATCAATAGTTTAGAATTTATTTTGCATTAGATATTATACATGAAAATTTCTCTAACTTATATTTATAAATAAAATTCAATTGAGAATATCAAACAAAATTCAAAAATATAATTATTAAATTGATAATTTACTTTTTCTACTTGTAAAGATTTATTATTTGACCATTTATCAGCTTCTTTTAAAATATCTTTATAACATGGAAGATAAATCGAAATATCACAATAAGCAATACCTTGTCCATCAAAATGATCATCAATTTTAAATATCCATCGTTGAACATCAAGATGTTCAAGAATTAAATATGCTAATGATTCGTATAGATGTTTTTGATTATATATATCATATTCACCAAATGGCATTGGAACATTACTTGATTTAAATATTCTTTTTGAACCTGATTTTGTTGAATATAAATATGATATTTCTGGTTCACAACCTATTCGATATTTTTAATAATAAAATTAATTCGATATAATAACAACAACAAAAAAAAGACATGAAACTAACCATATAGAGGAATATTAAGATATTCTGATATATAAAGATCATCCATATGTGAAATACCTGTTACAAGATAAGCTGAACGATCTTTTATTAAAGTTTTAATTCTAAAATATTTTAAATAAAATTTTAACTTAATGTCTTATTAATTATTTACTGTTTTAATGCTTTTGGACTATATTTAAGTATAGTAGATAAACACATATTATGTCCCTAAATGTTCGAAAAATCAATTTTTGAGAAGCAAGATTTATTGTTAACTTACTGGAAATCTATGTAATGCTTCTGGTACAATAATTATAAATCGTTCATTTGCATTCTTAGGTATTGAAGGCACTGATTGTTCACTTCCTTCTTCAACTAAATCTCGTAAATTTATCTAAATATATATATATATACAGAAAAGCAAAATATTCAATAGCGAACATTCATCAACTAGATCATTAGACTAAAATTAATTCTAATTTCTACTACCCATGTTATACGTTTGTTCGCACTATAGACGGTAGCTCTTACGATTTTTGCTTCGAGCTATAAATAGTTGCAGAGAGTATTTTCTACCGAAATTCGAATTCTTTATTAGAAAGAATTCATATTAATCGAGAAGAAAACAATTTCAGAATATATTTTACTAATAAAAATTGATCTCATAACTGGAACTGATTTGGACTCTGTGGTTAGTACAGGTGGCTCAAATACATCAACATTATCAGAATGTGGCAACAATTCAATTCTGTCAGTTTTAACAGATTTAAAAAAGAAAAACTATCGGTACAACGGACATTAAAATGATCGGTATACCGCCGGTAGTTATCACATGGATAAAGATGAAGTTGCCTTTCCTGATTTTTGTGTCATATATTATATGTCTGTAATTTCAAATATAAGTATTCGTCTATTCGAAAGATAAATTGCTACAAAAATCTTACCAATCTATTATAATATTGTAAAATTTCATCATTAACAGACATTGGTGATACATAAATAATATCAATATTAGGATCTTCTAATTCACATAAACGTCCTATTTGATAATTTTCTTTCAAAGGTAAATTAGTTAATGTTTTTCGTATAGATTCAGTTAAACCTAATGATGGTATATGTACAATAGTACGACGATGTGATGATATATATGACCATTTTTGTCGTAATTCATTTTGTTTTTTTTGAAAAAATTCTAATTGACGATGATGAATTAATTTTAATTGTTTTCGAATTTTAGATAATTTCGAATATTTCAACCAGACTGATCCAATTATATGTGCAGCCCATCGTCGTTTTTTTATATCTTTATAAATATATCGAGCATGAAAACCACGCCAACAGGATTGAATTATAATAGCTGCTCGATCTTTTCCATTTTTACCACGAAAACGACGACTCTAATATATATTAGAATTAAAATAAAATATGGCTTTTATTAGACGTAGAATAATGTCAAATCAAACTAGACGACATGCACACTAAATTCATAGTGCAAAGCACGTTTCTAAACTGGACTCAATGTTTAGGAAATTGTAAAACTCTCGAATTAGTCAAATTTAGCGGAAAAAAAACATATTTCTATATTGTAAAAAATAGAACGATGATTTTAATGCATGTTTAATTATATACACCACAAATCGAGCTTTCTCCTAATTGAAAATGAATAGATCATGAATTTCATAGTACTTTGATGCAAGAGAGTTCTTGACTAAGTTTTCATCGGTTTTTTATTTTCAATTTATTTTGATTCTCTATCACTGAGAGAAATCGAATGAAGGTGTCAAGAAAAATGTATTTGCAATTGATTAGACATATATGATGGTATTGCTTTAATGACTCCTAATAGATTTTCTAATCAATTGTTATTATATTCGGTACTCTAAAAGGAGAAGTACATCATTTATTTGATTAAAAAAAAAAATCTGAAGCTATATTAACATAAAAATTGAAGTCTGCTATATCGTCAAATCATAAAATACCTAAGCAATCAACTCTTAAACTCTCTTCAAAAAAAAAAGAATTATAAGAATGTTTGAATGAAAATCGTACAACTCTCCGATCTTTACAACACAAAATAATGATTACAAGTTACGTTTCTATAAATAATGCGTCGCACCATAATGAATTAATACACTATAGATAAAACTTTTTGATAGGACTTAATCTGTGTGAAGAATCTATTTGAATAGAATTGAACTATCTTAAAAATATTTGTCTTATTAATGAAAATTTTTACCGGTTGTTTGATTAACTTTTCAATATCATCACGATTAATAATTGTACTAAGAAGTTCTTCTAATGTTGGTTTACGTTCAATTTCAATAGATTGTGCAAGTTCAGCAACTCTATATTTAAAATTAATAGTATTCCAGAAAACAAAAAACAAAAAAAAAATCTATTTTACTTTTCTCCATTAATCAATGCAATTGGTACAAAATAATTATACATAATTTTTTCTAACATACGAAATATTTTTACAATATTACCCCATATAAAATAATAAAATTGTCGATATTGTAAAAAAATTTCTGTTTGATCCTTTGTTATACCATCTTGTATAATCAAACGATATATATTTTTATTATCAGATATTAATTCTGGTGTAGGTAATGGACGGCTAAGAATACCATTTTTTATTTGATTATTAGATGATTCAATATTTGAAGTATGAGATATTGATTGAGAAGATTTATTTGATATCTCACGACGATGAATCGATATGTTAGATTCTTCGAAAAATTAATTTAGAATTATAAATATTTCGAAAATATTTACCATTGTTGTAAGTTCTTATATGAATGGATGAATTCGATGTCGATGATTCAGATGGAATTTGAATAGTTTTTGCATTAGTATCATATTCTGATAGATAAAGAAGATTTTGTTTAGTATCTTCTGATGTTAATGATATCAAAGGATTCTGAAAAAGAAGAAATGATCAAAGTATATATATTTTTAAAGAATAATATAGAAGTTTTTACAGAAGGATTTCGTTGATGTTTAAGAGGTAAAATACCAAGTGGTTCTGTTGTTCTTTTTGATATAGAATTGCTTGTTATTGGCTAAGAAAATTGACATCAGAATATAAAAGAAGACAAATAAAAAACAAAAAATTACTCGTGATTGATGTGTTTCAATTAATGGTAATTGAATACCAAAATTATCATGATTTATTTGATGATTACGATTATTAAATGAAGTAGCAATTGATATTATTGGCATACTTTCAGTTTGTTTTTGATGACTACAATTGAAAATTTCTATAAGAAATAGAATTTAAAAAACAAAACACATTACGTTGAATTTATTGGTATTCCGTCACGGAATTGTTCAAATTGATAAACTTGTTCAAATATCGTCTCATCATGTATTTGTTGATGTGAATCTTTAGTATTTAATTGATTAAATGATAATGTAGAATTAATATTTCTATTAAATACATTGTCTGTTCTCTCCTAAATATTATCAAATCTAATATTCTATAGATAAATTATATATAGATTTACATGATTATCTGTTCGAACTAACATTTGTGTTAAATTATTCGTATCCGATTGATTATCTTGTTCTTTTTTTATAATCAATTTTTTCATAGTACGACGATATTCATCTCGAATCTATAATTAAAATAGAAAATATTAAATATAAATTATTTATTGAAATTTAATCATAAACCTTTTCTTTATTTGCATTACGACTATTATTATTTGATGGCACTAGGGCCATCATTTTGTATTACAAAATTAATAATCTAAAAAAAGAAATCAGTTTAATACATAACAATGATCTTTTTTAATTCTGAAAAATCATTGCGATGGTGAACAAATCTCACAAGTCCTTTTGAGAAGATCCTAAAAACTATTAACCTTGGAGTAAAGTTGGTTAGAAAATGTGATATGGAACTAAATTGTCGCTTTTACTCAAGTGAAACTATAAACATTTTCTCAGAAGTTACGTTCTACATAAAATACCTTTTCGTCAAAAAAGCAGTAGTTGAAGTGTTTTATTGCAAGGAGAGCCTGTCGGAACTACCCGATGACCTCTAATCGCAAGATAAAAAATGTACTTCAATAGTACGTTCTACTTCCAATCTTCCTTTTTGTCTAGAATACTCTCAAATGAATAAAAAGAAAAAAAAAAAGAAAAATCAACAAACATTTTGTGTACAAACTCTTGTACTATTCAACTAATCGTTAATGTATAATAAGAAATTGCGTATGAAAAATATTTCTAATCGGAGAAAAAAAAAACCGATTGATCACGCGCATGAATTATGTTATTTTAATTTATTGTTTCTCATTTTCTTTATATTTTTTGCATCATGCCAAATAAAAATCTTACATAGATTTTAACAGATGATATAAAAGACTAATTAAAAATATAAGACCAATGTATTTTTTTGTTACAATACCAAACATTTAACTCAAAATGAAATAGTAATTTCAATAGACAATAATATTTTCTATCAAATGCATTCGATACCGAAATTTTATACGAAAAGGAAGATTTCTGAAAAAATCAAATACAATAGTTTTCAGATCCCAAAAGATTATGTAAAAATTAGTTTTTAAGAAGAATACAATAACTAGAAGAAAATGAGAGGTGACTGCATTTTCTATAAAAAGTTATAAGCATCACAAATAACAAAAAAAAATCTATGATTTTTGAAATTTTTTTTTTTCTCTCTCGTGTATTTTAAAAACAATAGCTTATGAGATACTCACAGGTATTTTATAGCTTTCTGTTATTTAATACTCTAAAATAAATATTCTATTACAGTTTAACTGACACGTCTAATCTTATTTCTATTAGGTTATTCGACCATCATATTCAAGATCATGTCAAGTTTTTTCTTTTTCTTATTCGATATATTTCTAGAAAAACTTGAAAATTTAAATCGAAAAGTCGTCAAATCAATGAAAATTAAAAAATTGAATTCTAAATAAACAAAAGAAAATCATTAAAATTTTAAAACCATATGGAATGTTTGATGTCACGGTAATAGACCTCTATAAAAACAAATCAATAAATTATTCTATTATTTTTTGTTTAAAATATAATTTAAATGGTAGTTTCAATAGACCAATAAATTTTATTTATTTTATAAAGAAAGAAAGAAAGAAAGAAACGATCAAGATAGAACATCGATACGATTGTAAAATACTCATCTTTTTTATTTTTATTAGATATATATATATTCTTATGCAATAAAAAAAAGAAAAGATAATAGTGTCGGCATATCAAGGTTGATGAAAGTCTCTAAACTTGTTTCGTGTGTGCAATAAGACAAAGTGGGATATATTCTTGTTGCCTTTATCCTGTCAACAGTATATGATATGAATACTTGTTTGTCATATCATAAAAGAAGTTCTCGACATGTTTTTACTTTTCTAGCAAAAACATCAACATATATATATATATATATATCAGTTAGTTTCACATCAAAGTTTGTTTTATTTTCTCCGCCGTTCTCTTTTTTTTATCGGATTGATCTATCATAATCTAATTATGTTGGATTGCTTTTCTCTGTCCAGACAATAAAAGTGCACAATAATGATGAGCATTTGTGGTCATTTGCTGTCTACAAAGATATTTGCATATATATGATGATTGATCATCGTTAAAGAACATGAAATATATTTTGATTGCATCATATTATCATGAGAGGTTAAGTTATAAATAGACATCAAACTAATGACTATTGGATGAAAAGAGAATGACAGCTGTTACTTTCGAGTGACCCTGAAAGATTTTTTTTTTCTGCTCTTTCTTTCTTTCTTTCTTTCTATCTGTAATCGTTGTATAGAATTAATAATAAATCTATTCACTTGTAGATTTATATTCTATGAATGAGAATGTTTGGTTTCTACGAACATCAACCATCATCATCATTTGATCTATCTTTATGTGATATGGAATCAATAGATGAAATACCATCTGAATCAATATCATCACAAGTTTCAATAGATGATGAATTAACAATATCAAATAGATTAAGTACAACAACAACAACAACAACATTACAAAATTCAGTTTTATTTCGTTTTAAGGTTAGTTTTAAATAGTTTAATGGTTAAATAAATTGATTATTAATGGTTCGAATCTACATATAAGCAACATCACATTCCATTGAAGGTTTTTTACTTTCGAATGGGTTCACTAGTTTGCTAAATAAATCTGTAATAGAATATAAAATTTTGATATGAGAGTATATTTCTTCTATTAAAATTCTATTGCAAATAAATTGTTCTTTTTTTTTTTGTTTTTAATTTAAGAAAAAACGCAAACGTAAAATTGAATCTGATACTGTATCACTTCATTCAATTGAAGAAATTATTGATGAACATTTTCAACGTAAAAAACGTCTTTCATTACCACGTTTATCATCTGTATCAGAATTATTAAGTCCAATGTGTGATCGCCTTATAAATATGATTCAAACAACAAAACAATCATCATCAACAAATCTTCTTAATCTTTTAAATAATAATCATCATTATACACATTATAATTATAATAAAAAACGTAAAACAACATCAAATACAATAAAAAAATTTTGTTCAGCTTGGTCAGAAACATATGATGGTGAAAAATTAAAACAAACAATGACAGCTACAGAAATAGAACGACAAAATGTTCTTTATGAATTATTTTCTGAAGAACAACAAATGATTGAAAATTTAGGTTTAGCACAACGAGTAAATTTTAAAAAAAAAAAAATTTTTTTTTTTTTTTAAATGCATGAATAAAAATATTGTTTAGGTGTATCGAAATGGTATGAAAACATTAAATATTCTTACAGATTCCGAATTAAAACAAATATTTGGACCATTAGAAGATATTTTACCATTACATGCAGGTAAAATTTTTATTAATGTAAAATAATTTTCGGAATAATTTTTACATATCATATAATGTTCTTATGAAAGATAATCTAAATTAGAGATCTGTCATCGAACTAGGAGCTCGACTCGACCTGATGTCTAATTTGCGGGTTCTTTCAAATGCTGCTGGTGGTTAAGAAAAAAAAAAAAACTTGTCGTGTTTACTCTAGTTATGATCTTCTAACCATGGGAGAAAAAGCGAGACTTTAGTACGAGTGAAGTGCGCTACTTCAAAGTAGTGAAGTTTCGTCCTTGTCTTATAATTAACAATTATATACATTCTTTTAATCCATAATAATTTTACTTTTTTCAAATTGTTATTTAAGTAAAAAAAAAAAATATTTCGATTATAGTTTAACATAACTTTTACATTACATTTAATATGCAACAAGGTGAAGTAGATATTAAATAAAATACACACAAAATTTTAGTATTAGAAAAAATAGCCAAAAGAATAATCAATTACTTGATTCAATAGGTCTTTGTAATTCTAGGTTTATCTCTACTTTTATGTAACTTAAGGGAATATTTTTGAAAACCACATTTTTCATGACCGACAAAATTTGCTGTATGCTAGACACTAACAAGTTTATTTTGGGTGTAACGCTACGGATGTGCGTCAGATACTAGTATAAGATTGTCGGGTCGAGATGATTCCGTATTTGAAAATAAGTTAATAGGACAATTCTATATCTAGTTCGTACGGTACCGCTTATTAATATTGTTAGTATATTTATTTCTAAATATCATAATATAGAGTAATTACACTAGGACGTCTACAAAGTGATGGATTATTTCTGTTTGATATGTCAAAATTATTCGTTGATTGACAAGATAAAACATTAAGAAGTTTATTTCAATTTTTTATTTTTTTTTTTATTCATAAGCTGTGAAATAATTGCTTTTTTTTGAGTCAAGACTATGTGGATAATATAGATTGTAATGAACTATGAATGCTTTAAAAAGAGTTCGAAGTCTTAGATTATCATTTTTGAGTTACTACATTCTTACAATAACTTTTAATTCTATACCATAGTCTTCATTAAGAACATCAAGAAATTTAATTTTCGAATTTCGATTTAAAATTTAGCATAGATATCGAATTTAATTTTCATTAAGATTTATTTCTAATCAATTTCCCTAGTATTATTGAGACGAATCATGGTGTATTGAGTTAGACAACATTGTAAGAATGCAATATCTGCATGGTAATAAGCTAAATACTCGTACTCTTTAAACCATATGCATAACTTATTAGAATCGATATAATACATATAGTTCCAACACAGAAGCAATTAATTAGTTGAGGGACTTCCCTTATGAGATCCATTTTTTTCTTTATAATGGATACAATTCCCTATGCATATTTGCTAATTATTTGATGATAGACATGTTAATCGTTTTTTTATATTGAAAAAAGAATATCAAAGGTCGTAATTTTGTACGAGACAATTATTATTTCATCTTGAGTACATAACATTTGTCATAATGAATTTCTATCTCATGTGACATACAATATCAACATGTAGAATTAGACGTAAACAAGATTTTTATATATTATTTTTAGATCTTCTATATCGTTTGAAACCAAAAGGACATATTTCTATTGATGCTATTGGTCAAATCTATCTTGAATGGGTATAATTAATTATATTTAAAGTTTATTTTTATCAAATCTGAAAAAAATTTAGTTTCAACGTATTCGTTCATGTTATGTATCATATTGTTCGAATTTAATTAATGCAAAAGAATTACTCGATGCTAAACGTTGTGAAGAAAATGGTCGTGTTGATGATTATCTTAAACGATGTACTGATTCAGGTTTTAGTCGAAAACTTGATCTATGGGATTTTCTTGGTTTGTATTTCTTTTTTTTTTTGTTCTATTTAAAAAATTTCTTTTAATTCATTATTTTTTTTTTTTTTTTTGAAAATTTTAGATCAACCACGAAGTCGTTTAATGAAATATCCAATACTATTCAAACGTATTCATAAACGAGTAAGATCAAATAGATGAATAAAAGATTGAAATTTCACATTTTTGAAAAAGAAAAAAAAAGAAATTTAAATATACTTAATACAATGATAATTTTTTGCTTTAGACGAAAGATGGACATGAAGATAAACGAATATTACTTGAAACAGTAAATTAAAATAATAAATATTAAATCGAAAAGATATTATAAAATAAATCTTATTTTAGATAAATATTGTTGAAAAATTAATAAATGATGTTAGTCAAGCAACATCAGCTCAAATTTGTTCTAATGTTATTGCAAAACTTGTTTATACAAATGATGAACAAGTATGAAGATTGACTAACAAGAAAAATATCCAAGATGTTTTCAATTCTATTTTGATTTATGCATACGTGTCATTTGATAGATTATATTGAGATAAGAAAAAAAAAAGTCAGAAATAGTTCGGATCTATTAATGAAGAATTACAACCGTTTTACTGTAATTTTTATTAAGAATCACTTATTTACAAAAAAAAGAACCAAATGAAGAGTTTTGGTCTGGAATTTTGCCTATAAATAGATTTAATTAGGCTTTTCACAACCGGAGCTAATCGACATCCAGCAGATACTTTCATAGCAGAGAGTTGCCCATGGCATCACGGCAACTTTTTTACGCAGAAATCTTAAAACTACATGAATTTGCACAAAGTCTCAGTGTTCATATATGCGATACTATAAGACTTAGCACATCTGATCAATTAGTAGCAGCAGTTCAAGTTCAAATCAGTCACGACCTTGGAAATTGAAATATTTTTTTCGAATACCATCGTGGCAGCAGGAGGTTCTCAACCACGATAGACATCTATATTTCACAGTTACAATACAATTTTCAAAGTTTGATTTTATATGAAAAAGTATACTATTTCGTTTCTTCCTCACCTTTATGATAATTCATTTTTCACTCCATGTATTCAATTACTTCGTCATCTATAGATGAATTTTCATTAAAAAAAATTCTTTTAATAGAACAATATTGCTTTTCTCTTCTATGCTTTTATATAAATTAGCAGTTTGAAAAAAGTAAAAATATTTTGAAACGCCAACTATGAGATCATATCCGACACCCAAACAAATGTTCCGGACCGAATCGAATATTCGATCCGATTGCAGGACAATATCTAGACATGAACAGGACTAGTCGTTTTTGATTCCGAGACCATCTTATCTCAATATAATCTATCGAATGAGATATGTATGAATCAAAATGGTATGTGGAACATCTCGGATATTTTCTCTCCTAAGACTTTTTTTTTTAAGTCTTATTTTTAACTTCCAGAAACATCCATTAATTGAAAAACAAACACATTTAGTTTGTCAAGGTGAATTAAAAAATAATCGTGGTCAGGTATTATTTTATTGAATTTATATCAAAAAATAAATTTGATTAATTTTTATTTTCAAATAGAAATTATATGTATTTTTATTTGATGAAATACTTTTATTTACACGTATTGCTACACGAAATGGTTTTAAATCTTATCAATTAATAAATTATCCTATATTAATTGAATTCTTACATATTGAAGATATTGAAGATGGTGTTAAAATACCAGAATTATCATCAGGAAGTTTTTCACGAACATTAGCTGGATCAAAACCAGGTAAATATTATTCATTATTTAGATCGAAAAAATAAAATATCTATACTATTGTTTTTTTTTTCTTTTGATTTAGCACGAAATGTATTTCGTTGTTCATCATTATCAACATCAGATAATAATAATAAGAATTCAATTATACTACAAGCACGTGATATGTATGATAAACAACAATGGTTAAGTGCTTTTCGTTCAATAATAATTATGAAAGAGCAATGATAATAATCAGATTTCATTTATAATAACATTTGTTCTGATATTCTATTTATTATTATTATTATTTTTTTGTTTGTTTATTTATCCTTTGTGTATAAATCTCTCTTTTTTGTTTCTATTTGTCTTTGACTTTATCATTGTTTGATACCAACGAATACAAAAGTAATATAGGACTCATATGTTTTACTTATTGATGTTTTTTTTTTTTTATTTCTCATGTAAATAACTTCAAATGACTAAACAAACTCTATTTGTTATCAGCTTTGATGAAGGTTGTTTTTTAGATTCGTACTTGACTCTTTAATAAAAAAGAAAAAATTTGGAACTCGAAATAAATTTTATTAACAGTAGATTTTTAAACAACAACAACAACACATTAGACATTATGTTACTTATTACTGTGAATAGTTCGCCAATAGTTATTAGTAATTCGAAACAATAGAAAAATTCGAACGTGTATATCCTAATAAAATGCCTATTTAATGACATACATTATACAAGTTTTTCGTATTTAATCATTAATCTAGCATTACGAATAATAGATGTCAACCTTTCATTTTCTTATTGTACATTAGCATAGGAATTAGTTTAATAATCATCAGTCTACAAAGTTTATCATAATCTACCAAGGTCAAGGTTTATCGAAGATAGACTTTGACTGTTTCTCTTGCTTTTGTCGAAAGTCCACTAAAGCAGTTCTAATTTGATAAACGTTCCGTTTGTCATGATAACTGATCCTTTAGTGTCATCGACTTCACATGTCTGTATCATCGACGTAAGCTACTATACAAAGATGTAGAAAATGAAATACTCAAAGTAGTTGGACAAGATGCAACATATATTCGAGTTCCTTTGCTTGATATTTAACAAAAATGCCAGTCTTCAGACCAATCAAATTGGGTTGGTTTGTACAACACCATCGGTAGCATAGAGTTCAACATAGAGCATTCAATATCGAACAAAAAACTCTACTCAGAAACCATCTCGATTCTGTTACGCCCTATACTCATATCCATACTGTGTATCAAAAGGAGAATGTGGAATTACTCACAAATAAGTGCTTGAAATTCAAAACCAACTTCCTTTTTCCGAATTGTCTTAGTTTGACGTCTTCCTACGACGACATCAATAATACGTATTATCATATGAGCGAGTATTCAAAAATGCTTTCGTTTTATGAGTATGCTTTTGATGTTAGACAACATTCATGTCCATCAAATTATTCCGATCTTCAAAAAATATAAAAAGAATAGTGACATATCATGGTAAAATAGCGGTCAGAAGATATCTGATCGGTGAAGTATCAAACTACCGGCGATTTTTGTCATGTGAGAATGCATATCATGGCTGTATGAATATGCATGCGCATAAATGAAGTGTGCAATGTTGAGAACACAAGTAATACAACAGTGGATTTAGGATATTGCTAAATAGAGATGTTCCAGCAAAAAAATAAAGGGCGACAATGATCAAAACACGTGTTTTCAAGTCTATTAGAAGTATTATTGAATCTTTTTTAGACTTTTTTTGTTGAGCAAAATTCTAAAAAAGTTTTTCAAAAGAGAAGGTGATCGTGTCCTTCCACTAAACCTACCGGTACCCATCTAAATACAAACAGTTAATCATATAGAATTTATTCATACAGATACTCAAAGTTTAAAATCGAAATCTAAAACAAAATATAAATAAAGACAATGACAATGCTATAACTATTCGCATCTTATTATGAAAAATATGTTCCTGTGCAAAAAATAATATGGCAATAAATAACATACAGATAATGACAAAAATGTACACATGTTTATCTGCCTAGGTTTACAAAATACTTCGTTGAATTAATTTTTACTATCATATATAAAGATATACTAGAAACAAAATAAAGAGGATAAAATAACAATAATTATTATTGCTCTTGTTCATGCATGTGAATATATTCGTTATAAGATCATGTAATTGATTCAATTGAAATTCCTAATATAATACGTCCGATAGGTAGTAATGAAGAAAATAAATATAAGAAACAAGATTGGAAATCTTAAACAAAAGAAATATGAACAACGTTTACACTATTTTTTCAAAATCCTTAATATCTTGAATACTTTTCTTTTGCTTGAAGTACTTAATATGGGAAACACTGCTCTCACAGGGGAGGGTTTCTAATTGTTTAATCGCTTTTTTTCACTGAATCTAGTGGGTTATAGGTAACCGACTATGCTGATTCTGAATATCAATGCGAGACTGGTAGTTAGGGCCCCATATATCTATTTTTGGAAAAGCAGTTTTTTTCTAATGCGGAAATTTTTTCATCAACAACGTTTTTAATCCGTCCAGATTGTATAGCGCATCGAGTTGACTATAAAACACTATTTTTCTCCATTTGGGAATCATTATTATTGGGACATTGTGTTCTATAAATCAGTAAGGAAAAGGAACAATTGGTTTTGATGGCTTCAGTAATGATTTCCAAGTAGAGAAAAATAGTGTTTTATAACTAACTCGACGTTTTCTACAATCTGAATGGATCAAAAAAAATTTTTGACGAAAAACTTTCCTCTCTATGAACAATTGGTTTTCTAGAAATAGGCCTCTAAAGTTCTAGCTGTCAGTCTTGTATTGATATTCGGAATCAGCATAGTCGATTCTCTATAACTCACTAGATTTTGTGAAAAAAAAACGATTAGATAGTTACAGCCCTTCTCTTGTCAAAGACTAAAATTTCATTAAAAAACAGATGTCACTAATGTCTTGCATCATAATATACATTTTCTCCTTTTGTCGAATTTATTAACCAACAGATTTACGTTACATGTGGCCTGTATGAATCACATCTTTTTTGAGTCATTTTCTTTCTTTCAAACACACATTCGACTCTACAGCTATGAGTTCTGGTAAGTTATAAAATCTGTTCATTTTTTTATTTGATACATCTTCATACAGATGGTCCAATATATCGAACAACAAACTATCCACATCCTCAACAACAACAATCATCCCAATTTTATCAACCTACAACACCTTCTCGTTTGTATTTCATAATTATTCTAACAATTTCAATCGTTTTTCTTCGATTTTCTAGCTCAATCTCAAGCATCAAATGCTCATGGAGGTGATTACACTGTACCAAATCCTCAATCTCATAATGGATTTTTTTCACCACAAACAGCATTCTATGGTTCATCTAATCAAGCAACATCAAGCATAGAATTTCTATCAAATAATCCATTTCTTAATGTTGGTTTTAATGTTGTTGAACAAGGCATGAAAGATATGACAGACAAAACTATTAATATGTTACCTAATCAAGTATGATGAAAAAGAAACCAAGATCTTTTAATTTTTTTTTATTTTATTTAAATAATTTAGATGAAAAAATCTTTATCATCAATAAAATATTATTTTGCTGTTGATCAAACTTATGTTATTAAAAAACTTTGTCTTATCTTATTTCCATTTCGACCACGAGTAAATTAAAATGAAAATTTTTTTTTGTTTTGATCAAAAGAATTTTCATTTTTCTCTTTATAGAATTGGTCAATTGGTTATAATGCTGATGAACCAGTACCACCACGAGTTGATACAAATGCACCAGATTATTATATACCATGTAAAATCAATCAAAAAAACAAAATTCTTTCTTTTAAAATATCATTTAATTTTTTCTTTTTATTTTATTTAGTAATGAGTGCTATTACATATGTTCTTGTTGCTGGTCTTGTTCTTGGTATACAAAATAGGTAAATTTTTTTTTGATCTTATTTTTTATTCATCAAAAATTAAATTTGTTTTCTTATTCAAAGATTTACACCGGAACAATTAGGAATGCATGCAACATCGGTTCTTATTTGGAATATAATTGAAATTTTAATTCTTTGTATTACATTTTATATATTTAATATTCAATCAAAATTACGTATACTTGATTTAATTGCTTATTGTGGTTATAAATATGTTGGAATGATTACTGCTTTATCATCATATTTAATAACAGATTCATTATTTATTTATCGACTTACACTTCTTTATATTAGCATATCGTTATCGTATTTTCTTGTATGTAATTTATCTTGTTTTCTTTTCTTTTTTTGTTTTTCGTAATTGATTTATTGTAAATATTATGAATAGGTTAAATGTCTTCGATTACAAATATTACCTGATATAGGTGGATCACAACCATATAATACAAATGGAAATACACGTCGTATTTATTTACTTCTTTTTGTTGTTCTTCTACAACCATTGTTTATTTGGTACTTAACTCAACATTTAATTATTCCTTGAAAAAGCAAAATTTTTTTTTCCTTGTTGTTTTTTTTTTTAATCACACTATGTCATTCAAGTTATTTTGTGATATTTTATAGATGAATAAAAAAAATCTATTAAAATCATTTGACAAATGTGACGAATTTAATAACATCATATATTTAATGAACATTTGTATGATAATGAAAAATTTTTATATTGCTTTTGATTATATAGAGAAAATATTTCGTCATTGTTTATTCATAGTTTATTTAATACATTTTGGTATATACATACAAACACATCATGAATAATAGGTATATGCTCTCAATCAAAGAGTAAAATAGATGAACCACCACAACTATGCGAGATTAGGTTTTGTTCTTCTTTTTTTTTTATTTGTGTATCTCAGCCTTTAAATAGTATCAAAATTATAATGTTCAATCATATGGAACTCTCTTTTTTTTAGTGAGCTGGATACTCATACGAGAGAACATCAGTTCTAATGTGTATGCTATAATTAACGGATCCAATTTGTCTTCTTTTTTCCTATTTCCGGTGCTTTTAGAGAACAGTTTATTAGAAAATCTTGAAACTGTCAGAGTAAATAAATTTCGATAAGTAGAGCAAAAGTTGTTGAAAAGTCAAAATGCTCAAATAGCTCCTTCAAGGAGATATCGAGGTCACATAGGCTAAAAGTCATCCGCTTTCTTAGCTGTAATACATTTGATTCAGTTGAAATTTTGTTTTTTTATAGATACTAGACACCGTTTGAGTATCTAGTTTCTTTTCATCTTCTTCTATTAGAATAAAAAGATCAAAATACTGAGCATATCTGCAAAAGTGCATATTTTGTTTAACTGAAACCTTTCTTGTAAATCCTGGTAAAAACCAGGGATACATTATATCTTGAAACAAAAAGAACTAAGCATTTATAACACTTTCTAGTTTAACTAGAAGAAATTTTCAGTGCAATCGATTGTACTGTAGTTGGAAAACGAGCACAATTCTCAATTTTCTATTCCAGAAAAAACTCATTTTTTAAAAACAACAAAATACTGTATAAATTCTGATATTATTTCATATATTAATTCTTAAAATATATCAAGTAGACACAAAATACTCCAAAGTGTATATCAAACAAAAATGAAAAATTCTAAAATTTCTAGTCGGACCAAGAGAGATTGCCTTGAACTACTGTAAGATCCAATTAAGTTTTACATGTTTGAATACTGAATGAAATGGAAAATATTATTAAATAAATTTAATATAGATGTTATATATTAACACCGATTTGTATGCGTCTCACAAATCGATTATACCCATTTGACAGTGATTTATATGAGATCTGAGATGAATATTACCATTGCATTGTAAAGTGTGAAAGAAAAAAAAATGATCATGCTGTTTTATAATCAAGTCATAGATTATTTTGAATTGGAATATTTAATCGATAGTTTATTAGTTTTTTTGCTAGACAAAAAAAACAAGTACTCATTATAGTTATAGTATCTCTTTTCTATCATAGCTATTGTTCTCAAAACATTGATATGAAAACCAAGTTCTGTCAATCGTAAATGTTGTCGTGTTCGTCTTGCTAATGATGTTGAAGTCATAGCTCATTATTTCAGATAAAGAACATCATATATGAGGAAGATTTACCGAATGTACATTATAAAGTTGTACGTGGTAAATCAGATTGTAATTTACCTGTTAAATGACAAAAGATATTACTGACAAGTTCCACTGCAAAATAATGATTAGTTTTGTTTATTTAATTTGTTTTTTTTCTAATATTTTGCTCATTAAAAAGGACAAAAAAAGAATAAGAAACAAAAAAAAAATTCTTATTTCTTTCCAATTTTACATTGGATGATGTTTAAGTTTTTTTAAACATTCATCTTGTAAACGATATCGTTCAATTTCTTGTTCGATTCGTTTCGTATCAATACCAAATAACTGAGCAAATTGTAAAAAATAATTTAATGATTCTCGTTGTTCTAACCAAGTTGAATAATTATTAATAAAACATTTTGATAATGCTAATTGTTGATAATTTGGTGATAAATGATTTTCAGCATTGATTTGATTATTAAGAAATAATAGTACAAATAAATATAATGAAAATAAATGCATTTTTAAATAGAATTTCTTTTTCTAAAACAAAAAAAATAAACCAGCTTCACTTTATTAATCATTTGATTTCGTCAATGTAAAAAAATATGGATAGATGGTTTTATTATTACTGCCATGTCTATTTTATTGTGATCAACAATGAAAAACTGAAGAGTATCCTTGATATGCGATATTCATTACATTATTCTATTACTCTAGCTGTGTTTTTATTCTACTTTATATGCTCTTATATAGTAGTTACAAAAGGTTGCTCGATTAGACAAGGAGACATATAGAATCTATTTACGAACTCCAATACGTGCTGGAAGAAATTTTGGAAAATTATTTAGCTGTAGGAAAAGTTTTTTTTTTCATTTGAGAACTCGAATAAAGAAATGTTTCTTATGCAGATTCTTTGATTGATTTATTAATCGAAAGTATCGAAATAGTTCGTTATTTTATTTAATTATATAATATATTATATTTTTGAGTGGAAACTGCTTCTATTTGTTGACGATTAATAAAGACTAATATTTTATATGAGTTTTTTGCATGTTAAGTAAAACGATGTCTTTTTCGCTTTCTTCGGGTATTCGAGTAAAAAAGTGAATCCAGCTTAGTCTTGATTTTGATAGCAGGTGGAATTTCTCATATTGCAAACAGATTTTGCATCCTTTCAGAGGAGAGACAAAACTGAAGCATCGGTCAATAGTCCATGATGAAAAGAGGAGACAAAATAAATAGAAGAAAAACAATTATTATCAATGATCATCATAGTAAAATGTCATAATATTCAAATCCTTGTTGACAAGTCTCTATTGATATATGCGAATTGAAATATTATATGTTATAAAGAGTCAAAATGCAACTTAACTCATAATAAATTCGAATGTTTGGTGGTTAATACTTATCGAAGGACGTCAATCTTATGTAAATAGAAAAAATGACTTTGTTGAACGGTGAAGAAATATTTATTGTTTACATTCATATGATAAATTAAAAAAAGTCAATAACGATATAGAAAATTAATATGAAAATGTTCTAATCATATGTGTGTAGTGAATAGATATGATTTTTTCATAACTCATTCACGACTACAATACTCTATAGAACGTAAGGATAATATTTAAAATGAAGATATCAAAGACGCAGAAACTAAACGCTTGTTTATCAGGGAGCTCATTCTATTCAATTATAGCGGAGATGTTCAGTTTTCAATAGAATGAAACTTTTTGAATTGAATAGTAATGAAAAGAAGAAACTTCGGTTGATACGATATATTCGAAATAATTTTTTATAATATAAAAATATCGTATGGAATGGGTCAAATGATTTCATCCTATTTAGAAAACTAGATTATATCTATTAGTTTTTATCTACATAGCACTATCACTTTTTTTTCTTAATAAATGATATTCATTGAAAATACATCTCTGTTTAATTACAAGCACAATTAGAACTAAAGTCAGAAACACTCTGCTTATTATCATAACGCGAATACATCCCTAATTATATGACATAACATTTTATTTCTGATTCTAAGAGAGTTTTCTTACTCACTTCTATATTTCTAGATGTATATATATTACTGTTAATTTAAATATTCAAATTCTATGAAAAAAAAATAAAGCAAAAAGAAATGATATTTCATATGAAACATAGATGAATGTTGTCTATACTCTTCTGAATATTACCAAATTTTTATCGTTACTTCAAAAAGAACAAATAGTGTCACTTACAAATCAACGTTTAATAAAATATCTTTGAGAGGAAGAACTAAGTACGATCGATAGTGCACTTACAAAAATTTCATATAATAACGTTCATTATCTAGTCTTTAATATTAACAATCTATATTGGTCTTGAACTCTTTTGATGTATTATAGATATTAATTAGTCTTCTATTTATATCTCTATATGATGATCTTCATTGAAAAAATTCAAAGAATATTTTGTCTATCATAATATAAAAATGTCACGACAAAAAACAAATCAATTCATCATACTTTGTGTAAAGTTTGCTGCTACTTTATATTTTTAACAGAAATATGTAATATGTAGATTATCTTCTATATTAATAACATGCCGAAAATAATCAATACCATAGTGTAACGGTTGACAACCGTTATGCTTCACCTATTCTATATTCTCTCACTCTTTATATCGTGACTTCTTCACCTAATGCTAATCTTCTGTCTCCATCTTTGTTCTCTTATGTATGACCTCTCCATCTAATATACAGGGTGTTAAAAAACCTTTACGCCCCTAGGTTCGACCTTAAGGTAAAATGATTTCACTAAGTATTTTATACCAAATTGAAGCCCGTAAAAAACTGCATTTATTGGTACTAAATAGTAATGGTTATGAAGACGTTTTAATGTCGAACTTATGAGATTTTCAAAAATTTGATATCTTTTTTGGTGTAGAAGAGTAAGATGCCAGTAATTCAAATACGACATAAAATATTTTTCTTAGATATTTTTACATGATTCGATAGAACTCGACGAGCTCTACAAAACTATATATTTCAAAAATACTTTGAGCCATCTTTTTGTGATAAAAAATTCGAAAAACTACACGGAAAATCAAAAAAAGTGTCAAAAATTCATCTTTTTTTCATATGCAAAAAAACATCCAACTTTTTCAATAATATTAGTTTTTCCCATTAGTTATGTTAGCTCAGACATTTTGAAATGTGCTCATTCGATACCGCGTGAAAAATTGCATCGAATGAGTGCTTTTCGAAACGTCTAAGACAGGAAAAAATAATCAATTAAACTTAATTTTATTGAAAACTCGAGTGTTTTTCTTCCATATGAAAAAGTAAAGTTTTCAAATATTTTTTTGGTTTTCCAAGCAGTTTTTGAACTTTTTATCACAAAAAGATGGCTCAAAGTATTTTTGAAATATATAGTTTTGTAGAGCTCGTCGAGTTCTATCGAATCATGTAAAAATATCTAAGAAAAATGTTTTATGTCGTATTTGAATTACTGGCATCTTACTCTTCTACACCAAAAAAGATATCAAATTTCTGAAAATCTCATAAGTTCTACTTTAAAACGTCTTCATAACCATTACTATTTAGTACCAATAAATGCAGTTTTTTACGGGCTTCAATTTGGTATAAAATACTTAGTGAAATCATTTTACCTTAAGGTCGAACCTAGGGGCGTAAAGGTTTTTTAACACCCTATATAAGGCATGTTCAATAAAAGGAAACGGACAGTTGTGAGAGTACAGACCACACAAGACACCGTCGTGCCGATAGGCATAGGCCATCACTCTCATAATTCGTCGCACATAGTTCGATAAAATCTTTTTTCTATTAGTCTCACTAGAACATATAGATAACAAGCATTCATATAAAAAAAGCAATATTCACTTGAAGCTATTTCTTCTTTATTAAAAAAGCTGACATGAGAGTAGATGAATTAATTTTAACCCTCGGAGATCTCAAATTATAACATTCTGAGACCTAACCTTCTCATATTCTTTGTTTTTCTTCATTGATTCATTATTAATACTCTTTTCAATCTTAAATTTCAAACAAAATTATTTTGAAGAGGTTAAGAAAACTTTCTGACTTGTTTTTAAAAAGAGCGATGACACGTAATGTCTATAGGCACATATATAATGGGTTCAAACATTATTCAATTAGATTCATTTTCAATTTTTTCTCACTATCGTAAACGCTAATAAGAATTTTCGAAGATGAAGATGATTGCTATGTTTTTAAGCATATGGTCTCTGAGAAATCAAAAAACTAAGTTTTTAACTCCTTCACGAGGGAAGGTCTCCAACTGTCAAATCACTTTTTGATCGTTTATAAGCTCAAATGATAGACCTTAGTGAGCTATTAAATAATCTACAAGGGTTTGATTGTACAAGCCTTTTGAGTCGAGATATATGATTATTACTATTACTAGTTTTGCTTTACTACTATATTATATATTCGATATCTTTACTAAACATGCTCCAATTCGGCTCAAATTTATATCAATACTAAGACACTCAGTACTGATTCAGATTCTAGAGTTTGAAGTATAAATCATTAGCTTTTTTTTTATGGAAGATATGAATCTGTTTGACATACTGATTAATTATTAAAAAAACAGTATGTGATCTTGCTGAAAGATGTATGCATTAATTTAGCTAATATTTTCAACACACATTCATTTCATAGTGAACATGCATGTAGAAACATCAGCTCATTTATTAGTGCTTTAGCTAATAAAAATCAGGAAAAATGAATTCGTGTACCTTCCATCATGTGATCTATTTTCAATGACATGTTTCTAAATCGGAAAAGAATCAACAAAAAACAGAGAAAATGGAATAAATCATTTAATTAATGCAAGTGAGAATTGCTGAAAAAATGTTTAATACATAATATAAGGTCACGATAAATTGTAGCCAAAGAACAAACATGAGAAGTAATCACACTCATCATAGTTGTAATAATAGTAGAAATAATATGTCATGATTAAATATATATAGGATGTCCTAAAAGTCATTAGAGTTAGAAAAATTTGAATACCTCCATTATTACGCCTCAAGCAAATGAGCTGATTTTTTTTATCAATGATAGAGACATGTTCAAGGTTTATATTCATAAAGATATGTCTCGAGAGATTCTTTGTTTAGTATCTCTATTGATCTCAACAAAAAACAATTTTACTTTTTCGCAGATTGGAAAAAAAACAATATACTTAACAAAAGATCTATCTAGACATGTCTTTATCAATATAAACCTTGAACATGCCTCTATCATTGATAAAAAAATCAGCTCGTTTGTTTAAGACGTAATGAAGATATTCAAATTTTCCTAACTCTAATGACTTTCGGGGCACCCTATATATATTCAGTACGAGCATGTGCTCCTTGAGACATTCCTTCTTTCACTTTACATATTCTCAGTTCACCTTCACTTCGGTTTTCCAACTTCGACGGTCAACGATTTTGCGCAAAAAACGCATTCAAACGAAAAAGAAAAAATTTATTTCGATCAATGAAATACACAT